ATTTGTGGGTTGGCATACAATACTAATTCACAATCCTGAAGCTATTCAAAGTTGAAGAAGTCCTATTTTAATCATTAGTTTAACCAATTCTTATTTCCGCGAATCTCCTGGGGATTATAGAATTGTTGATGTACTTTCTCAAATGTCCGCTTATAATCTTAACTTTTAGATACTAGTAAATATCTCTTCGAAAAGCACAGAAGTTAGCTAGGAAAAAAAATAATATATTTGAAAAACAAAGAAAGCTTTAATATGCCACGAAATTTGTGTTAGTGTAAGTGCAGGCATTTTTGTTTGTCCAAGTTATGTCGATAATTTAATACTTAAGGCTAGGTAAGGACAATGACCAGTAAAATGCCAATAACTGCATTGAAATGCATTTTTGGGTGAGAAATATAGGTTTGAACTAGCGGATTTTATAGTAATTCTAATAGATACCCCGCATAAGTTGAAAAATCTAGGCATTTTATTTGCACATGCATGTATGCTATGAACCCCACCGGAAATCTAAATCAATTAACTCTTAGTGGCCATACCGAGTTTAACAAACAGTCGTGGTGTGAAAAGTCGGCAACTATAAAAAAAATAGCTAGCTCTCAAATCTACATTTAATGCGCTTTGGAACTCGCCAAGTTCAGATAATCAATACATTTTACGGGCCTAGCGAGATCGCCACGGCGACCGTGGCTCAGTTTCTGCTCTGCGATAAACACATACAGCTAAAAGAATCATCTTCTCGATATTTTTGTTTTTTTTAACGATGAAGAATCAGAAAAAATGGCGCGAGTCTCGCAGTGACTAGAAGATTATTCAAAGCCATGTAGACTAACCTTTGTATCATTTAAAGGCTAGGCATAAAAGGCCGATACTACAATAATCATGGATACAAATGAGGTGAATGTGAATATTTTAATTCAATCACATTGCTTTGATAAAAGACCTGGGAAATCAACAGAAGAAGGAATGGTTCCTGCTTTAATGATTTTTACCAAAATGTTTCCATAATCAATCACAATTTAGAGTCTTGCGAAAAAAATGGAGAAACATGAAAATGCTTGATAAACTGGGTGTAACTAAGTAAATGAAAGGGATGCTAGTGATCCAAAAAATGTCGCCCAAATGTTCCATTCTTACAAATCTCGCTTAGACTGTAAGTTTAAATAGTATTTTTAGCAATGATTACGGTAATGCAAAGTGCACGGGGCATAGCTTAGCGATTTTACCCATGTTATAAAGTGAACGAAATTAGTGCAATCGAACTATGGTAAAAAAAGGTACTAGGAAAATCAATAAACAGTACCAAAATTGGTCTATCCTTTGATGGAGCATTCGTAAGATGTATGTAGTCAAGGGACTAAGTAGGGGCAGCCTGTGCGTCAAGTATTGGTAAACAAAAAATGGGGCTCCAAGTAAGAAAATATAGAAACTTTTGGGTCATTAACAAAAGTAAGACGAAAAGGAACGTCCTGCTTAATGCCTTAAAATAATGTTTCAATAAATCTGTCGGGACTTCTTTTAAGTGATAATGAGCTGGATAATTGAGTTCTTAAAGGCTGCAA